CCCCCTTTTTCTTTAAAGATCATTTAAGTTAAAACACTGAATGAAGCTTATACAGAAAAAAGTTTTTTGATTTTGGCAGTTAAATAATCTAAATTATTTTCCAAGTAAATGTAAATCATCAAAAGAAAGACTTTGTTTCACAAAGTAACCATAGCCCTAGTGGTGGCTTCAAGAGTTTAGGACCAATCCAGAACAGAAGCTTGCACTAATTAATACACACAAATGGAAGTACTCAATCTGAAGGTCTTCCCATTTGGAAAACAAACCCAAAACACACATACACCTCTTGAAAAGTCTCCTCTGGCCAGGTTTGATGAAGTTCACCTCCAGAAAATACTTTATGGACTACATAACCCTTGAACAAAGGTGAAACTGGGTCTCTTGGAGGCTGTCTTCTGACTGACAATAGTTATGAGGACATGGGTTGGGTCTGAGCAGCTCTCAAGAGACAGAAAAAAAGAGTTGGGATTTTTTTTCCCCTTTAAACTGTAGATGCATTTTCTCCTTTGGGCTTCAATAGGTTTCTAGGGTGTAAGTCTTCTCCCACAAATTTCTGGAGAGAAGCCTGGCTAGGAAAGGAGCCCAGCCTTCCCCTGCTCCTCCTGTCACTTGTTTGTGTGCCCTCATGGCTAGGAGTTTCTACATGACTTCTTCAGGGAAAGGAGACCCAACAGAGTCTCAAACCAGCTTAATTCATGAAGTCTAACTAGACACTGTACCTTCCTGACTGGACTTCTGCCCCAAATCCACTGTGCTAGGTAGGAGAAGTGTTGAATCCCAGGAATCTCAGAAGAATTAGGGGACCCCAGTTACAATTCAAAGCTGAATTCACTGCTGCCAAAATACCTTCTCTCCTCCTACCCCTTCACAACCAGCAACTGAGCAGTTCCAAGTGTATCTTCATGCTCTGTCAACCTATCAGAGACCCTGATCTTCCACCAAGCATGGAAATTAGGCTTCACTGCATGATAATTGAGTGCTCACTGATCTTCACTCCAGTTTCCTCTCCTTAACGACCACTACAGAAAAGCCTTTGCTGGTGGCAGAGACAAGAATCCCACTGAAATGCAGTGGCTGCCACAGATTTCCTGAGAAAAATTACAAAAATCAGCACAACAAGCACCAAGAACATGGATCACAAGCTACCAGAGCTGCAGATGCTGGGACCTGAGGTGACCCTGATATGGAATCCAGGGAAGGATGCTTGCACCTCAGATACAACTGTCCAGCATGCAGCTTCAGTGAACAACTTTAGCTTTTAACCTGGCCAAATACTCAAGCAAAAAGGAGGTAAACTTTTACATGATACAGCTTTCAACGTGCACAAGCTGCAGTTGTCTAAAACCAGCTTTATTAGGTTCCTATTTTCCTTACTACTTTGGAGGACACACTTGTAAGAGCTGATGTGCAAGCAGACACCTCTATCTCTACTCTTTTTAAGGACCAATTCCAACTTCTTCACTGTGGGACATGAAGTCACCAAGTCACTAGCTCTGAAGGAAGATTAATTTGCAGCTAAGGAAACACTGCTGCACTTCATTTTCAGACATTTAGACTGAAGATTGCACTGGCAAAGAAGCCCAAGCAATGCAGCTGTGGTGAGGATCAGCTGAAAAGTGAGTCCGTGGCACCCTCTGGTGTTTGATCAATGCACAGGTTTTCCTCCAAATCCCATCTTTATTCCACTTTATACACCAGTCAAAGGCATCACTAGATCTTCACCCAAACCTCCATGCACCATTATCAGCAGCTACATGGGGCAGAGCTCCAGCAGAGCAAGAACCAGGATGTCCTTCACCCAAGTCAGGCTTGTAAGTGCTCTGGAGAACAACTCTATTGAACAGAATAGATGCAAAACAAATGCTTAAAGATGTAAATAAGTGTTTTATTTTTCCCCAAGGTGCTCTAGCAAAATGAAACCCCTGAAAAACAGGGGGTTCCTCAACCTTTCCTTCACCCTGGACCCCCTTTAAATACCTTATGTGGCCACAGACCATGAAGACTTAATTCAAGATTTAAAGCACTAGACCACACCAAATATTTATTTCCATTTAAATATACATTTTTTTTTAAATTTCAATTTTCAATTTCCATTTCTTTCCTGCCAGAGTGGTGAAGGATTAGCCCAGGCTGCCCAGAGAGGTGCTGGAGTCCCCATCCCCAGAGGTTTTCAAAAAAAAAAGTCTAAATGTGGCACTCAGGGACATGGTTTAGTGGTCATGGTGGTGCTGGGTTGGACTTGATGATCTTAAGAGGTCTTTTCCAACCTTTATGATTTTATGATTCTGGGCTGGATGTTCTGGGCTTACTGGGGAACATCTACTGCCCAGGCCAGATGAACAGGACATGGTGCTAGACCTGCTTGGAGAACAGAGATATTTATACTTGACTGAGGGAAGCCAAAAGTTCAGGTACATGCTGCCCATGTCTCAGACATAGGAAGACTCTCATATTTAAAGTCAGAAAGTTTGGTTTTAGCAGTGAAGAGGAGATGCACACAGGGTGTACCCAAAAACATCAATTCTTCAGAGACCAGAGACTTCCTAGAAAAATTTAAGGTGACTTCAGAGATTTCAGATGTGAATTCTCATGGACTTGAGCTGCTTTGAAAATCATAATCCAAGAGCAGAACTAGAAAACCACCTCAGGTAACATTGCTAAAACAGAGTTTTTCCTACACTAAGAATTTAACAATTCAGGGAAGGAACTTAAAGAATTCAAATTTTAACACATAAGACAGTTGATCTATTCCAACTGGAAGATCACAGGAAAAAAAATTGACTTTGTTTCTTTTAAATATGATATTTATTAAGGTTTTTTTTTTTCCCCACCCAAAATTACATTCCAAATGATATTCTGAAGTATAGTTACTAAGAAATTGAAGCAGCTGAACAGAGCTAGTGCTTTAAAATCAGCCTTTCATTCCAACTTCTGGGTACCAGTGTTTTTTCACTGCATGAGAACAGCAACAGCTCTGCCTATCCCACTGCACACAAAGCTGGAGCTTTAGAGAGATGAGAAGTCAGTTGGTCAGCAAGACAAAGGTGTCATGTCTGCTTTTATGTCTGCTTTTTTAGAGTCCTAAGACCAATAACACTCATCTGTACCCCTGTTCCAACCTTACATTTCAGAGCTACAAAAACCATTCCTGATTTTCAAGGTTAATCAGTTACCAGAACTAAAAGCTTGAAGCACTCCTGTAATGTAAAGGCCTAGAGAATATGCCAGAAGCTTTAATTAGAGGTGTAGTCAAAGACTTTCACCTCTACATAGAGGAACAAGCTTGTAAGAGGAGCTAATAAAAGATTCTGAAATACAGCAGAGAGTTTTAGACAGGTTACCAGCCAGTTCACTGCTGTCTGGCCAGCTGTAAAAACCCAGGGGTTAGAGCTGCTCCAATCCTATGGAGAGCTTTTAATACAAGGTAACTCTGCTTTAGATGAGTTAATAGTACTCAGAGGATGAAGATCAATATGCCTCCTCTACAAGAGAAAAATGGATACATATTGATGCACACTGTTTATATAATTACACTCTTGTGATAACATGATGAAAAAAACATCTTCATCAGGGCAGTTTTCTCATATCAAGAATAAGCAACATCTGCTATGAAATCAAAATTTTTAGGTTCTAACATGAAAAATACTTATTATAAACATGTTTCTACAGAAAGTTGCTTTTATTTGGGCTCTGTTCACACCTCTACACTTGCTGTTTGTTCCTTCCTATGAGAAACTTCTGATATAGTTTATTTTTACCTGAAGGACGTTGCTCCATTCTCTTTTATTTTAGCTTCCTGAACAGCAGATGCTTGAAATGACAGAATTTTATTACCTGGCAGGGTGATTTGTTTCAGAATGGAACCTAAAACAAAACAAAGAACATGCCATAGTAGAAAGCAAAATGCTAAGACAACTGTTTCATCAGTTCCTACTTCTAGCAAAGGCTACTGCAGACTCTGTGGCAACTAATCAGGTCCACTTGAAAAACAGACACCCTAGATACATTCTACATCTTCTGTATGGCCAAAAACCTGAATAAACACCCTCTTCTGTGCTGAGCAGGGTAAGGTTTTAAGTAAAAACTGGCTGGTTGAGACAAATTCCCATTATGCATCAACCTGGACATGGTGAAGGAAAAATTAATCACATGAAATGAGTCTCAGAAGCATCCTGGCTCAAAAGAAGTTCACTTCAAGGAGCTCCCTCACAGAATTTTAATAAGTACAAATGTTTGACTGATATTTTTAACAGGTGAAGGAAGGAGACATGACAGAACTCCAAGAAGATAGTAAAAATATTCAACTTCTCACACACAACTGGTTGCTCCCAACCACCTTCTTGCATTCCTACAGTCTACCTCCACTTACTCCACACCTCAGCAATCTTCTCCCTTCTCCATTGAAGAGGTTCCACTTTACCTGCAGGCAAGTGGTTAGTTTGAAGCAGTGCATTCAGTGGCAGCCTCTCCTCAGCAGTCTGTAGGGTCAGGGTTGAGGGCTGTACTTGCTTTCCAATGTTTCCTGATGGCTGCTGGACTACCTGGAAATGGAATATCCAATATGAAGAGTGAGAAGTGCTGAGCATACACAGAAGTGAGTAGTATCAGTGTGTTCCTTGAGCCACAAGCATGTCTAGCATGAAAGCAAACAGCATGCTCAAAAAAAAAATCTCTTTTTTTTGTTTTATTTACTTCATGATGAGCAATCTCACAAACCACCAGTGAGATTGAAGCTCCAGATCATTCAGTGCCCTCTATCAGACACTCCACCCCTATTCTCTATTGATAACCACACTAAATGAGTTTCACTGAGTATTACAAACCCATTACTCTGAGGCTTTCCTCTCCCTAAATCTTGCTCACCAGACTAACAATTGATTATTGAGTCTGCTTGCCAATAAGTTCAAAGGGGGAAGTATCACACACACCTAAAGCACCAAAGCAAGCAGCTACAAGTCTGGCATGAAAGAATTAAGAACACACACTATAAATTCCTACTGAATTTTTAGGGCCACATCATCATTGTGAATTGAGGTGCTGAGTTTCAAAGTGTTAAGCAAAAGTACACTGAACACATCAGTGCCAACTAGCAACACCTACAGGAGTAGAGCCTCTACACAAAACCATCAGCACACTGCTGAAGGGTAAAAAGGAAGGGGGTGGATAGTTTTGTTTAAAGAGGCTCTTGAAAAACAAAACCAGACAGCAGGATGTCATCACAACACAGACCCCCAGGCACAGCTGATAAATACCAACTCTTCCTCTTCAGGGGCACCTATTAAAATGCAAGAAAGTAATAAAACTGCAGCATTCCTAAAAGCCTCATTTCTAACCCTCCTAGCTAGCAGAATGTGGTCTGCAGCTCTTGATACATCCCTTGGAAAAGTTCCTTTTACCAAAGCACAAAATTACCAACGACTTCAGATTGAATCCTATTTTTCTAGCAGCAAAAAGCTAACACAATGGAGTTTTCAGGGTCAAGAAACCACTTTTTCTCCTCAACATCTTTTATTCTCTCTGCAGAAAGTCTAAAGAGTATTTGTACAGCAACACTGCACAAGTTTAATTGAAAGAAAGTATTGATATTTATTATACTTCAGAAATTAGGCTGTCTCCTTGTGTCATCTAACTTCAGAAACAGGTAAAAATCTGTGAGAAAGAGCTATTGCCTCTTCTCTTCAGGTTTAGTGGCAAGAAATCATAAAGGGACTGCTCCTCTGTGCTCCATTAAATAGGTTGACAGAGACATCAGAATAAAAAGCATGGACATTAAGTCAAAAAAAATGCAATGCAGCATCCAGCTGCCAGCATGGACAGAGCTGCCAGAGAGAGACCTTGATTAGCCTCACTGGAACATGGTTTCCATCCATAAAACAAAGTTCAGAGATCAGCAGAGAGATCTGGAGCTATCATCACACACTATAAACCTCTTTGTAAGCCAGTGCCCCTAAATGCCTCTGTGTTAAGTCACCAGGAGGGAGCTCTTCCAAGCCTGCAAACTCTCACAGCAAGGGATCAATCCCAACAGCATCCCTGAAGAAGAGGCCCCTCAGTGTCCACCACACAAACCCATGGTTTCCATAATCATGCTACAGAAAGTTTCATGTTCCATCACTCCAGTCCCAATTTTGACATTAAAACACTGCAGTGCTGAATTCTTAAGCACCACCAACATGCCAAGGGAGCTGGCAGGTGAAAGTTTGCTTTCCATTCATCAGGCACAGGAGACCTGAATTAGAAATGGGCATGCAGAGGGAAGGGATGGCATCAGACAGGCCCCTGGGCTGCAGAGGGAAAGAAACTGCTGGCAGCATTGTATGGACAGATTTGCACCGTTGGCATGGGCTTCCTCTCAGCTGGCAGCAGGGCCCTTCTGTTGAGGGAGGGGAGGTCCAGATTTGTTTTCTTGTGGGAGGAAACAGACCCTCTGTCCTTTCAAGGAAAGGCTGCAGTGAAGCCCTAGAAGATGCACATCTGCTTCTCTGTGCTGTTGTTTGAACAAACACCAAGCTCCTGATGTGGGTAACTCAGCCTTCCAACTACGATCAGGACTAACATTAAACAGGTATTTTGAAGAGCAAGTATTTCCATCACTGTGCCTGGGATCCACCTAAATGAGGATAAAAACCTTTTCTGGATGCAATTCAGTGGTTGCAAGGCACAGTGATGAAGAAAAACTGCAATAGGTTGACACACTGCAGGAGGAATTTCTTGAGATCACCAGGATGATATTCAAGAAGTGTTTCAACTCCCCAGTCCAGGGCTGAGCTTCCTCATCTCTCTGTACAGATGGCCAACCTCTCCCCTGGATTACATGGCTTGCTGTGGAGCCAACAAAGTACTCTCCAGCCCTTCTACAACCTAAGAATCTCATTTTCTTCTGGCTGAAATTTCAAATTTAGTCCTCAGAGGCAGCAAGGGTACAAACTCCTTCTCCAGTTTGGCTTTAGCTGCTCCTGTCAAAGACTGCCAGTGCATATGCCTGATAGCTGTTTGGGAGAGGGTGTTTTGGGTGGTGCCTTTGGTTTGGTTTGATGGTTTATTGTTTTGTTTGTTTGTTTTTTTTAAGAAACCCACACTCATAGGAAGGATCCTCCATCCCCTCCATATATATGAGTGCTTTGTTCTTTCAAGCAAGTCTGGGAAGGTGAAAAGCTGGCAGCATAAGCTCTTTATTTAGAGTGCAGGATTCTTGGGTTACATCTGCCTTATGCACTTCCAAAGGAAGAAAATTTTAAAAGCAAAACATTTTAGGGGTCTGAATACTGTTTAGTATACACAATAAAGAAACAACAAAAGAAATTCACAGGCTAGATGCCCTGATATACTTGTGGAAAGTAAATCTTTCTTCATAAGGAAGTCTGATAAGGAAGTCTAATGTTTTCCCTTCTTTCTAAGGAAAGAAAACTTTACAAATCCTATTGAAGAACTGAGTTCTTTGTCTTTCAAAGGGAGACTCTTCTCTCAAAATACAGAGAACATCACTGACAGGTAGATCTACTAGACAGCACACTACTCAGTACCTCAAACATCCATAAACCAAACCTAATGTATTTTACAACGTTGCTCTTTTGGGTATACCTTGAGTTCTTGATCTTCCAAAGGGAGACTCTTCTCTCAAAATACTTGAGAACATCACTGACAGGTAGATCTAGTAGACAGCACACTACCCAGTACCTCAAACATCCATAAACCAAACCTAATGTATTTTACAACGTTGCTCTTTTGGGTATACCTATGATCCACAATTTGTTGGTATTTAACATTAGCAACAAGTTAACCTGTGCCAAGAAAAAAAAAATAAAGTTAACACATAGCTTTGGAGGGTATTTATTAATACATTTATTCCTCCTGGAATCTGTCAGCTAATGAGGCCTGGTAGAAAAAGGTCACTTTTGGATGACTTCATAATTAACACGTCTTAGCAAATGTGGAGATCAGAACTGTGGTCTGAAAAGGTCCTTGAGCTAGTTTATACATTTAACATATCAAAAGTAAAAAAAAAAATACCATCAAGCCACCTGTGCCTGCCAAGTACCCAGGGTAGGAACTACCAAGGTAGAGACTGGAATCCCTGGTGGTTCCTGAGGCACAGCCCTAACAGGGCATCTAACAGCAATTAACATCAGCACCCCATTAGCAGCTGATTTCTGCCACTCATTTCCTGCCTTTTCTTTCAGATGCCAGTGCAGCCTGGCTGCACACACAGCAGGGCTCAGATCTCCTATTCCCTTGTGTCTCAAAGGTGGATAGACAGTCTGGTGGAATAGTGGTTGGCATGTCCTGCTAAAGACCAAGCTCACAGCTTGGCTTCAGAGTCACCTTTTCAGCAAGGGCTCAACAGACTTAAACTACATCAAATATAACTGATTAACTCACGACAGCTAGCTTCAAATGTCTTAAAAAAACAAATCTAAGATCCAAATTTGTGGCCTCTTTCCAAAAGGGTAAGAGTCACAAGTAAAGCAGCAGAGAAATTCATCTTACCAACTGCTTCACTTTCACAACCCGCTGAGCGGCCGCTGACTGCGCAGCCACGGAGCTGATGGAGTTGGGCTGGGAGATTTTAATACTGATTGGGGTCCTAACGACTGGTTTCAGAGGCTTGAGAGGGGTCGTGGCTGAAGATGCTGCTGTAGAGACCAGCACTGGCTTTGGAGAGTGGAGAGATGAGGTCACAGAGGTGAAGACTGGCTTGGCAACGTGGCTGGCACTCAGCCCCGACGTCGTCACCACGGTGGTGAGGACTGAAGGGGCAGGTTGAAGAGATGCTGTCACCACTGCAGGGGAAGGAACAGGCTTCACAGCAGCTGCTGCTGGTGCAATGGCCAGGACTGGCTTTATAACTGGAGAGGCTGTGACTGGGACAGAGGCAGACACTGGTTTTAGCAGTGGATGAGAAGTTGTGGCTGGAGGCGGCG